TGGTTAGAAAAGAGGCATGAAAGACTAGAAAAGTAGGTGGGTCTATATCATTAAGACCCCTATAATTCATGTTGAGAGGTTCAAACTTTATCCTGAAGCCACTGGAGAGATTAAATAAGGAAGCAGGTGCAATAATCCAATGAGAAATGCTTAAGATCTGGCCGAAAGCCAGGGGGTCGGAGAAGAGGATATGAACAATTGGATGGGCTGCATACGAGAAAAGGCAGAATCAAGGATGAAAGCCAGGTTCCGACCTGGAAAGCAGGGTGAATGCTGGTTCTATTCACTAAGTCAGAGAGAACAGAGCAGGAGCAGTAGAGACAGAGGACGATTAAAGTTTTGGAGATGGAGGACCTCCAAGAGTGATGTTCAGTGGTGAACAGCAGATGTACAAGTCTTATGCCAAGGTGAGACGTGTGAGCTCCGAGGCTAGAAATACACATTTAAACGTCATCGGCATAATGGTAATTGAAGCCTTAAGAATGGCTGACTCCGCCCCAGGAGTGTGTGCCTAGAGAAGAGCCCTGGGATAACACAGTTTAAGTTTCAAGGAGAAAGAACTGCAGTTTACAAAGGGCACTGAGAAGAAAATCAGAAATTATGAAAGAAATCAAAGAAAATTGCAAGCTAATCTTGGAGGGATTGGCATTTGTCTAAGAAGGGAGGACTTTTCTGGAAAAAGGAATGGTATGTATAAAGCTGGAGGGGCAAGATAGGACACAGTCATATTTAGGGAATTCTTTGTGTTTCTATTTTGTACTATTCCCTCCTTCATATACCTTTCAGTTCACCCTGAACTGTCCACCCTGAACAGACTGAACTGTTTACTTGGACCCAAATTCAAGTAGCCTCTGGTCTCCATGACTGTTCTCACACTGTCCTCTCCAACCAGAAAGCCCGTCTCCACCTTCATCAAACGTACAAGTTCTCACGCCCAGCATGAATACCAAGACCTCCATGATTTTCCACAATTATCTTCTTCCTTCTCCACTTGGGAGTAATCCCCCCCCTTTGGAACTCTCATAGCATTGTATCCGTATCTCTCTTATGGCATTTTAATGAAGCTTCGTAGTTACTCAAGCAAACATTCTTGAGATCAAGAACCTTCTTTGTATTAGGACCCATCTGATATAATCCCCAGCACCCAACATGGAGCCTGCACTTAGCGGGCTTCTCAGAGTGTGGCCTCAGGACCAGCAACATCAGCATTTCTGGGAAATGGTAAGAAATCTAAATTCTCCAGCCCCACCCCAGACCTATTGATTCGGAAACTCTGGAGGGAGGGCCAGGGATCTGTAGTTTAACATGCCTTCAGATGATGCTTAGTGCAGCTTAACGTTTGAGAAGCACTGGGTTAGCTGAAAGTCTCCTTTTTTTTTTTTACTGGAATAGAAATTTGCAACTACAGTTACATTATGAGCACTTCTCTAGATTCTATCTGAAAACAGAGCTTTCAAGTCAAATGCTCAGTGGATTATTTGAAAATTTATTTTTATGTCCTTCTGTTTCTTAACATATCATCCATGTAAGAAATCTCATATCAGCAAAACAAATGTGAACAACAGAGAAATTGTATCATTGTGCCTTGGGGGATTCTGGTGTCCCTGGCTTTAGCAGTATCTAGGAATTAAGCTTCAAATGACCAAGATTTGAACTTGCTGATGGCTGAATTGCCTATTCTCCTTTTCTTTCACTTTCTCCTCTGCTCTCCTCCCTCCCTTTCCCTTTCTCCACTTTTCATTTTCACATCTAAAACTGTCTCAGAGCATGCACTTTGGAGAAAAGATGCTATAAAATTCTCAAACATTCACAATAAAAATCAAAGGTTTCCCAGCAAGGTCAGGTGGATTAGCCCAGAAAGCTGAGAATGAGTCGGGAAAACATTCCATTTTGTCCACAGTCTTTTGGCAGCCCATAACTTCAGAGACAGGATTTCAATCAATGTGGAAAGACATCTTTCCTTGGATTTGAATTCACTCCAAACCATTCCAGGCGTACTTACTGCTGGTGAATTTCAGCATTTACTGCCGGTGTCAGCTTCCTAGGGTGTAGAAAGCTGCTCTGAATTCCTGCCAAGAATTTTAGAGCTTTTGTGTCACCTCAACCCTAGGTGATGATCAGACAAGCTCTGGGCTAGGCGAAGGTGTCACAATGCTCAACAGAGATGCCCCAAACCAGCAGCTGTCCTTAATAGGCAGCCAGTCCTTTGCTTAACATCTGAGCACCTTCTCATCAATTCTTACACTTCTTATTCATGCGAATGCTGTGTGGTTGTGTGTGTGTGTATAGCACTCACAAGTGAACATATATGTGTGTATCTATCTAGCTATATATAGATAGGTAGATAGGAAAAGAAGACTGAGGAAGGAGAATTCAATAGCACAAAAGGTTTTTTGATGCACCGTAATGAGTGCACAGGTACAAAGGTCAGTTTTGATGTGAATCTCATAATATCTGTGTATAATACCTGTTCTTTTCATACATAAAAAAGAGAACATGGGAGCAAACATCCCACCACAGCATACACATACCAGAGCATACACATACACAGTTTCTTCATAAATTCAACCTGTAGTAGACATTTCCTCACATAGTGGGAACAATACATACCAGCATTGCCTTTTTACAACACATAAATACCCATTCCATCACTCCCCAAATCTCTTAAGTATTTGGAGAAAGGGAAGGATATATAGGCATTCAGGAAATAGATCTTCCAAGTCTTAAATGGAAATAAAGAGATTTTTCTTCCCTATAAATATCTCCATAGTTTTGGTGATTCTGTTCAAGGAATCATTGAATTCCTGGGGAACTTGTGTTTCAGGAAGTATAGTCAGCATCCCAAGAGATACCAAAAGATGCAATTCTTTAGTTTTCAGAGTCTGCTGTAAATTTGCCATTTCCACCTAGGTTAAGTCTGTTGACAGTCTGGTGGTTTAAAAAGTAAGGGTCCTAAAACTGATGAGAAAGTGAGTTATCATCTCTTTCTGTTCTAAATAGACCATGATTCATCTCTCAGAGATTCTCCTGAGAAATGAGGCTCACATATAGTGTTTGACTTTGCTTTCTGAGTCTTAACGGTTTGGGGCAAGTGTAAGTATAAAAAAGAAAGATGTCCTATTTTTAGTCTCAAAATGGTGACATCCAGAGTATAGTGAAATGTTTTTCACCACAGAAAGGACAAAGAGCGTCCTTTTTTCTCCACATTTGCAGAATATGAATCTTAAGAGAGAATATTAATCTGTGGAGACCAGGAGAGTGCACTGTGTTTGATTAATTTGATGTGCTCAGCTGGGGCGCCTGCTTTCTTCCCTGACTCTGACTTGCTACTCTGGTTCTATCTAAAAGTATAGCATAGGGCACCATTCCAAGCAACACTGTCAACTTGGTGAGTGAGGCTCATGTACAAATAAGTATGACACATGGCAGCCTTTGGGGAATGGAAGGAAAAGCCCAGACACTTGGATGACACAATCCACATAAGAGGACTGGGAAGCCGGAACTTGTTTTTGTTCTTGACAGTTTACTGAACGTCTAGGCTCAGTAATCAAAAAAACCCACCCTCAGCTAGAAACTAGTTTTCTTGAAGTGGGGCACATCTTTCCCTTTCTGCCCCCTTCATCCAATTCCTGATTCTGGGCTCTTTCCCAAGGTCCTATATCTTCCAAATTAGGGTGGGGAAAGGAGGGAGGCCCTTGACTCTGCTCTGGGCTGGCAAAAGCTTAGGTGCATAAGAGTTACCAGAGTCCACCAATCATTTTGTGGCGCCTCGCTCCATTCTGATCACATCCTAGTGCTCCCTGCACTGGCAATTTCTAGGTCATGTCTGTGTGGTCCCTCTCCAGCCTCTGGGACCAACCAGACTGACAGTTCTGTTGCAACAGGCTATTTCGATCCAACTTCTCTTTTGGGCTGTACTATTTCTTTAAAACCCAGCTCCTTCAACTGAACTTGGCTTACTGGTTTATTTCCTCCTCTCCTTGTCATCATGTTAAAAATTTCAACCAAAACTTACAAATTCAACAGCTGGAAATCTTCTCAGAATGCCCTTGTGTATAGAAAATCTATAGAAATCAGGGACACCTGGGTGGCTCAGTGGGTTAAGTGACTCCTTTCAGCTCAGGTCATGATCCTGGAGTCCCGGGATCGAGTCCCACATTGGGCTCCCTGCTTGGCAGGGAGTCTGCTTCTCCCTCTGACCCTCTCCCCTCTCATACTCTAACTCTCTCTCTCTCAAGTGAATAAATAAAATCTTTAAAAAAAAAAAATCTATAGAAATCAGTAGGCAAAAACTCAACAAGGAATAGTTGAGAAACTTCTTCCTGAGGCATAAAGTAGGGGAGTGAAAGCAAGACAATGGCCCTCTGTAAAGGAAAAGAGTTAATAAAAGCTGTACTTACTGAGTGCTTCCTCTATGCTAGGCACATAGGATACTAGCCAAGCTTCATGTTTTCATAGATTATTTCATACAATCTTCATCTAAGGTAAGTGGTATGAAAGCCTGTCTCACACGCGGGAGAACGGAGACTTAGCAAGCTTGCAGTTACATGTTCAAAGTCACAGAGCTAGGAATTAGCCGAGGTGGGTTTAGAAAAGAGGCCAAACTTAACTCCAAAGCAGGGGCTCTTTCTAAAACAGCGCCTCCAAACAGCTTATTTTTAATTCTAAGCCGTGATTCCCAACTGCAGGCTACAGTGCTGGTCCCATGCCCCACCCCCTTAAACCCGCACCCCCCAACCACCACCACCAAAAAAGAACATTTCCTTGCTATCTGGGGGACATTTTTGGTTGTCACACCTGAGTAAGTAGGGCCAGGGATGCTACTACATGTTCCAGTGCTCAGGAGAGCCCCAACCAAATAATTATCTGGTCCAAAATAGCCAATAGTGCTGAAGTCAAGAGACCTTGATTCAAAAGCTGGTGGATTTTAAAAGCCAATTCATCAAACCCAGGTTATTTTGTCTGTAATTCACTCATATGTACATTCTGTCCCATCACAGATGACAGCAGCCTTCTAAATCTAACTCCCTACCCCCTGGTTAGAAGACGGAAGAGAAGGTTCTTTGGGCTGTGTTGTCTGGTGTCAAGCTAGACAACTCCTCCTGGAAACCCACCATTGCGAAGACCCGAAAATATCACAGAACCTGAGGACCTCCAGACAGCTGAACCACAATTATTGGTTTTTGACTATGTTTTCTATGCTTCCTTATTACTTTTACTCACCTCCCCCTACCGTTTTAAATGATTTTACATTTGAAAGCAGCTGCTGTCAAGGGAAAAAAAGATTCAAAAAGCAGGCTGTTTTTAAAAGGATTTTTAAAGCTGACATTGCGCATGCCTGCTCCAAACCATACCATGACAGATGCAAGAATTATGGTTTTTAAATTATTTCAAGGTTTTTTTAAATGTATTATACAGAGAAAAATTATTTCATGTATAATAGTATATCTTTAGCTCTTGCTGTTCTCATGTGAACAATTTATCATATATGAGAGTCTTTAAACATAGAAATCTATCTAAAACTGCAAAACTGTGTTCAAAAATCCAATCTATCAATATTATTAGGAATAATATTATAACCAAACATATACCACCTCACCTATTGCTTTGTCTGCACTCATTTACATTCAGTCTTCCATTCTGTCAGAATCCAAGAGCTTCTACATAAAGATATCTTAATTTATAATGCAACAGAAACCATATATGAAACATATTTAAATTTTGTAAATACACAATAATCCTAATATCTTCGTACAATGCATATGGGCAACTAATTTCCTTTCGATCCAATGGTGTCTTTTCAGCTTCTTGGAGAATGAAGTAATCCAGTTAGAAAATGGTGTAGTAACATATACAATTACCCTCAAATGTAAAATTGAATATTATCACATTTTGTTCTAATTGAAATCTGAAGCATGATGTCTGCGCATCAGCATAGTGTTAAATCTTATAGGGCATGCTGGAATTAGCTCAGATCGTAAAAATATTTAACATTTTGCGTTAATAAAATCTTTTTAGTTAAGCTAAGCTTGTCTCATTTTAGATGACTATGCAGATATGACTTTTCCGATATGTACTTGGTGTCTTGTCTTATGCTTAGACTCTTGAAAGCAGGACACATTAAGCAATACTGTATTTTAGAAAGGAAGCCACATGCTTTGTTTTTCTGCTCACAGCTCTCTTACGATCTTCCTCACTAAACTTGTAACATGGTACAAATTGTGTTGTATTTTCCCCTGTTCTTCCTTGGCCTGTTACCTAAACAGGATTTCCTATGTATTGAAAGATCAGGCCTTTGGACTTCTCTTCTTGCTTTTCAAAAATCTAAGGACTCCTCAAGACAGACAAGAGACACAAGTGTCTAATCCAATAAAAGGATGAGCTAGATGCCTATCGGTGGTTTATCCAAGATGCATCTTTAATCCCAACCCTATGCTTTCTCAGTACTTATGTGCACAGGCATTTAGATGTCCCAATATTTTTGACCCAACAACTAAATACATTAAAGCTGTTAGCTTTAGTGAAGATGAAAATAGGTGTTTATGAACTACTGGAATAATTATTGTATTAGATTGACCTATATGAAATTGCTGGTATTTGACTGTTTGACCTACAAAAATGGCAATTTCATATGGTTCAACCTAATATCTGATGTTGTGGAGATTATACTTGGAATTCTCTTCTAGCTTTTGTGATCGAAAGCAAAAGGATTAGAGGGTTGGAAAAGATCTCAAAAGGCTATGTGGTCTCTTAGATCATACCAGCTGATTTTTGGCCTTATTCTTGGAGTCCAGAGTTCTGTTCCAATGAACTCGTAATTGATGCATTGAGGCATATAGGTATGCCTGACTTCATATAAAGACGTATCTTTTTGAAAGTTATATGAGAAAATCACAACTTTCTAAATCAAATATTTGTAAAACAGTTGTTAGAATATGCTCTTTAGAGACTCTTAGAATGAATACCCCCTTGCAAAGCAGGTAACCACTCCCAGATTTATCTGGTCTGCAAACCCTGATTTCATAAATCAGGTCTGACTGAAGTTTCATATCTTTTTTGAATATGGTTCATTTTCATCCCATGTGGTCAATTCACTTAAGGTCCATTGTTTTAGAAATAATAAAGCAGCCCAGTTGGGCACGCTCTCAGCTGCCGTCTCTGCCCTCACACACCTTTACACTATATTGAACCCTTAGCTTCAATCTCATTCCTATTAATTCATGCAAAGGTATTAACCGATAAATCCAACCTTGGTGTTCAGCACGTTCCTCTAAATGCTTGACCTAAATCACTTCTGCTTGGTTAATTTGGGCTCACTCTCGCCTTAGTCTCGGTATGAAAGGAACACTTACCTCCTGTGCCATTGTCCTTTGTACAACTGAAGACTGTTAATAAATTCAGGTCTCACCTCCAGGTCTGGGAGGGCTATGGTAGCTGTTCATGGAGATGGGAATTTGTCTAATTCCCCAGCTAGGCTTTCCATATCTGAGGTAAATAAATTCAGCCACCTTATCCTTTATTCTTAGTGCCTGTTTCCCAGACTTTGATTGCTTTTATAGTTCATGTGGACACACTCCAAGATTTATAGATCTTCTTTCACTAGCAGGTTCTAAAACGAATTTCAGTGCTCCAAGTCGTGATGACCTGCACTGGCTCATAATGGCAATAGATAGCTCACCACCTCCTACTGGATAGGCCAATGCCTCTCTTTAGGGGCTGACCCCACTCTCCTCTCACCTACCAAAGGACTTTCTCAGGTGTAGTCCATGAGAGACAAGTCTACTATCTCGGCCTCCTGCTGGTAATTCGCTTCCAGATTAGCAATAACACTGATCTGATCTCCAGGGGTAAGGAGAAAACACTGAACCCATTCCATTGCATGTCCTCACATGCTGAAACTGGAAAAGGATGTCAACTTTTTCTGGCACACCGTCACCCATTTTACCCCCCCCCCAATTTTAATATCCCATGTTGATTCATTGTTTTCTTTTTTCCAGATTACAGAAGCGATATATGTTCTTTGTGGGAAATCAGGAACATACCACCAAGTATAAAGAAAATAAAAATCACCTGAATCCCACCACAATCCTATTGTTTAAAACCACAACTCCAGGCTTTAAGTCAGTCAGTGGCGGGGCCCAGAGGCACTTGTGGATAAGGTATGTGAGCGAATGCCCACAGGGCCGAGGTATCACTTTAAAATACCTGTCCCCGGATGTCTTGCACGCCTCTAGGAACAGATCAACTGCAAAATTCTGGTTGAGCCATTGTTCAAGGGTACAAAGAAGACTTTAGAAGTAGCACATCCCCGATGCCTCCTCTCAAGAAAGCTCTTAGGGAAATTCTAAAACCTGCCAGATGATTTTGTTCTTCGGTGCTCCTCTAACGGTTGGCTACTTACTGTAGGGCAATACTGCCACCTACCGGATGCTGAGCTTTAGAATAAGAAGGGAAAATAAATGCACAGAGTGTAAAGGCAGCTCATTTATTTTAGACAGCAAACAATGGGCCAGATTAACAATATCCCGTATAGCATTCAGATTCTGGAAGTCTCAAAATTGAAAGGATTAAGAATATCATCCAGACTCACTTCCCTTGCCACACGCATATACCTAAGCACTGTCTATCATTTCTTTGTGTTCTAGAACGTCACCAAATGCAAAATGCTCAGCTTTCAGATGACTATAGATAGGATGAGGAAAACCAGTGATGTTATTGGCCCGTAATAAATCATTATAATTAAATATAAAGATCAGAAATAAACCCAAGAACACAGAAGCATTGAGTGCATTATAAAGATGGTGTTTCAAATCTGTGGGAAAAGTTTGGATTACTTAACAACTAGAGATGATTGGTTGGCTAATTATTGGAGGAAATACTAGATCTATACCTCATAACTTCCATCAGAATAAATTCTAGGTGAAGTTAAGATTTAGACGTTAAAACACATAAGCACATAAAAGGACCAGCAGGCAATATTGACAAATATTTACATAATTTTACTATGAAAAAAAAAAGGCTTTCTAAGCAGGACAACAAAGAAAGAAACCAAAAGGAAAAAGATGGATAGATTTGACCAATTAAAAATACAGAACCCTTATACAGTAAAAAATAACAAACCAAATTGAGAGAAAACAAAATTTGAAATATACGCAACGAAGAGCATAGATCTCTAAATGATATCAAGACCCCATTGCCCTTGGAAAGTTTCTATGATCTACAATCTGCCCAACCAAGTGTTACCATTTCATTGTTTCCTCATTGCACTTTTAAAATTATTGCTTGTTTGTCTGTTTCTCTTCACTAAGCTGGAAGTTCAAGAAAGCAGCAACTATGTCTATGTCGCTTACTGTTATATCCTCAATACTTAACACAGTGCTAGACACAAAGCAAATACTGAAAACATATTTATTGTGTGAGTGGATAACGAATGCATGAATAAGTAACATTTTATGATCAAAAAGAATCAAGCTTTTGAGTAGAAAATTGAGCCAAGGACACAAACCGTCAATGTACCATAAGTTAAAGTAATGAACTAATAATAAATATGAAAATATTTAACTAGTAATCAAAAGTGCAAATTCTTACAATATATTCTTTTTTATGTATCAGACAGGCAAAGGGTATAAAGAACTATAGTTCCCAGGGACAACAATGAAGTATGGAAATGAACATTTTCTCACAGAGTCAACAAGGGTGTAAAGTGATCTGATCTTTCTGGAAAATATTTTGGCAATACATTTTTTGTGTATGCCAAATACTTCCACTTTAGTGAAATTCTCCTCAAAAAAAGCCAAGAGAAATGAACTAAGGTACATTCATGCATTATTCAAAAAAATATATTAAAAAAGGATGTTTATAAGAGCATTATTTGGAAGAATGGAAAAAATATAAATAAGCCTACAATATAGGGTTGATTAAATAGGGTATATCCTTTCAATGGAATACTGCCCACCAATTAAGAGTAAGCACTAGATGTACATTTATTGAAATAAACAGCTATATTGTTAAATGGAAAAGGAAGTTACAAAGAATATAGTATGTTTCCATTTTAAAAGTATACATATACATGTGTGCATTACAGCATCTGAAAGGATATTTGCTAAAATGTTAATAGCATCTATCTCTGGGAGGTGAGATTTGGAGCAACTATATTTTCTTTTTGCATATCTGTAATTTCTGGTTTTTCCACAATGAGCATGTAGTATCTGTATAATTTTTTCAGGGAATAAACAACAATGTTCACGATATATCTTAAATGAAAAAAAAAAAACACGTTATAAAACAGTATGTATAGTATGACACAATATTTGTAAAAAAGAAAATTATATATAAATATTATCTATGTATGTATATATATGCATAAGAAGCTAGAAGGACATACACTAAAATGTTAATAGTAGTTATTTATGGGTAGTGGGATTATGGGTGATTATTTTTTCTTTTTTGCTTTTCTGTGTTTTCTAATTTTTCTACAATGAATATGTAACCCTTGTGTAATAAAAACTAATAATAAAAGTTTAAAAAAATGAAAAAGTGAGACATTGTGACCCCACTTGCTCTCATCCTCCCCACCAACCCCTGGACTGACTCCTCATTGTCACTGTGTGGGCAGTGGAGGCATGGAGAGGAAACACCAGGGCACCATAACCTTGGGAAGACAGAATAGTGAGCCAAAAAAGAGGGGAATGGTGACGGGGGGAAAGAAAGGAAGAGAGAAAGAACGAATTAAGTAAAGGTAAAGTCAGTAGTGGAAGGATTAAAGCAGACTTTGGAAACATTTTCTCTGACAATAGCAGTGAGTATAGAAATTTAATCAGTTTTTCTGATTAAAAAATAAATAAAAATAAAAACAAAAACAAAAAACACTGAGTTAAATAAATTGGTTTTCTAATCAAAGGAATTCTATACATGTCTGGAGAAACATCCAGGAATTCTGTTCTGACAGAAAGGTATCCTAAAGTTTTTCAAGGAGACAAACTGCGGCAGTACGGTTGGTTGTTGAGGGCTGTACAGTAGAGC